GTATAGACCATATATTTACTTTGCGGCAGGTGCTAGAGCAGCGCCACGCATACCGCAGACCGACAATAGCTGTGTTCCTCGATTTCAAGAGTGCGTTCGATTCGGTCGATCGATCGATTCTGTTCGAAATACTTGCGCGGAAAGGTGTTCCCACGAAATATGTGAACATCCTTCGTGCTCTATACTCGAACACTAGAGGCCGCGTCAGGGTCTATGGTGCCCTATCGGATAGCTTTTCGACTACAAGTGGCGTTCGACAGGGTTGTCCGATTTCCCCATTTTTGTTCAATTTCGTCGTGGATTCTATCATGGTGTGTTCCCTTGCGGAATCTCACGATGTAGGTGTTGAAGTGCTGCCTGGTGAACGGTTAGTTGATCTAGATTATGCGGACGATATCGTCTTGCTTTTCGACAATGTTGAGGCGGCACAATCAACTCTGAATAGCCTATCCAGAGTGGTCCCATTATTTGGTATGCACTTCGCACCTTCAAAGTGCAAAGTGTTGCTGCAGGACCACCAGCCACTCGATGACCCCTTGACGCTTGCTAACGAGGAACTCGAGGTGGTTGATCAATTCACTTATCTTGGCAGCTGCATCAGCAATGATGGGCACATAGAAACTGACGTGAGCTCACGCATTGCAAAGGCCAGAGCTGCCTTCTTGAACCTGCGTCATCTTTGGCGACAGAAGGGAGTTTCCCTCTGTCTGAAAGGCCGTGTATACAAGGCCACAGTGAGAGCCGTTCTGCTCTATGGTAGTGAGACTTGGCCCCTTCGGTCTGAAGATCTGAGGCGCCTTCAAGTCTTTGATCATCGTTGTTTGCGAAGCATTGCTGGTGTCGGATGGCACCAGCGTGTCCGCAACGATGATGTGCGTAGACGAGTACTAGGTGGTGATGATCATGCTAGCTCCCTAGAACAACAGGTAGCACTGAATAAGTTGCGTTGGCTCGGGCACGTGCTCCGCATGCCTGGTCACCGCTTACCTAGGAGGGCCTTGTTCAGTCTACCAGGTGTCGGATGGCGCAAGGCTCGAGGTGGACAGAAGTTGACTTGGCAGCGGGAAATGAAGTCACTGACGACCAAACTGGGTGCCGTTGGTCCGTCTCGCCTTCCAGGTTGGAGTCCACGTGACTCACCTTGTGCTTGGCTCGAGACTTTACAGGACATGGCTCGCAATCGACACCAGTGGCGCGTCTGCTGCCGTCTCCTAATCGGATTGTCTGTTTAAAGTGTGTTTGGTGCTGAGTTATCTGCGGGGTAATGGCTGATTATGACGCGTGGCAGTGAAAGCCGCAAGGAAGCTGTCTCGCCGATGCCGCCTTATCTTTGCACGATAGCCAGCTGTTTGTGACGGTATGTTGTCTACACAAGGTGTAGGCACCTTGACCCTGAACGTTTGCTTAGGGCATTAAGGTTTTCAGGTAAGTCCCCCTTCTCTCCCTCTTCTTATTCTTTATTTCAAAGGTCCTCATGGTTGTATGGCAGCGAAGCATCAGTTCAAATGGCTGATGTACTGCTGTTGATGATGATGATGATGTTGATTTTTCCATTTTGGTTTGCCGCAGAAGACACGAGTAGCTCGGTCTGTTTGCCGTTGTACTCAACTTGTACCTCGATGTGCTGCTGTGATCCACACTCCGTCTTCTGTGTGATTTCACCGAGGCCACTTTTCAAAATAAGGGTAGTTGGTGGTTAAAGGTTAAACCTTTTTCTCTTGCAGCGCTCAAACCTAGCGGACAACAATCATGAACTGAACTTGATCAGCTTAGGGATCCGTCTCCATGATTGTCTCTTATGCAAAGCGCGCAGCCCCTAATTATCAGGGTGCAAATCCACCAAAGCTCAGAGCTATTACGTTCTACGACTGATCATATGGGGATTATTCTCTGTCCACAAATCTCTTACGTCGTCATTCCTTTTCCCATCAGTTGGATAATTTAGTCGATACATTTTTTATGACCATATTGGACTTGATGGATTCACGCAGTCTGGGACACTACTACCTTCAGTTCCCTGTGCTAAATAGTTACAATTCCATAGTTACTGTTTCGTGGTTTTCTTACCCTCTTTTTTCTCTGGCTTTAACCTCGTCTCTCCCCCTATCGCTACTTACTGTTATCCTTTTGACACTAGTTATGACGGCTAGATCCACCGCACTTTTACGCCCTGATCATAGTTGTTCAAGTGGAGACTGGTCTATTGCTGATCAGTCAACCCGAATTGTCGGCATTCTGGGTTATTTCGAGTTATACATTTACGCACAACTGGCCATCAAGTGGAGATAAGGCAGTACCGACGAAACAGCTGTGTTGAGGTTCCCACTGCCCCTCTTCGTGATCACATCACGCGCTGCCAACGGGTAATGCTGTTAGACGATAGCGAGCGCACCAAAAATATCGGATCAGACAGTAGAACGTGTCGTGTGATTCCAGACATTGGATGCGAAACGGCGCAGCTAAAAATATACATAAAAATACAATTTTTTACTACTACAGCCTAGATATTATCGATTTCATTTCCTAATATAGTACCGGTTACTTTCTCACGCGCATCTTACACAATTTGGCACGCAGATAATCGAGCTTATTTCATTGTGCGGCTGGCCTGGGCACACTTGAAAACTATTCAGGCCAGTTGTTATTATTTAGTTTTATTTATTGCTATAACAAACTATTTTGATTATTAACACCTCATACTCGTCCCTACAGACACGGTGATACCATACACCATGAGCAATTACTCTCAGGCCTCCACCATTCAGGAGTCGAAGGTGCCAACTTTCACTGCGATAGTTTGCATACACAACCCACACACACAAGAGGATTCCCCCACCTGCTACATAGTTGTCTCGGATTCGCGAAACCGGTTTTAACTACGTATGAGGGGCACAATCGTGCGGCAACAACACTTGGTCTTTACCTTACCGTTGTGGATGGGTCGATCATAATAATTAACCAGTGACTATACCATATCGATGTTGCCACTCATTGACATGATCGCATCTAGGTGGTTACCATCAGCTCTTGTTCTATTTTACACTCGGACCAGTTTAGTTACCCATCATCGGAAATCATACTCTAGATTTCTGAGACCCTTCCAGGCCCAACAGCGATGTATGTGAAAACAATGCACATTCGTTGCACGGTCCGTGTGCAGTAGGTTGGCCACGTCCTCTTCAGTTCCCAACATGCATGTCAATAAGTGAGAAACGCACTGAGTCAAAGTTTACTTATAAGTGATGGCAACCCATCGCCGTCTCCCATGTCCTGGTGACGGAAGCTGCTGATGCCTCGATTATGGTTTCGATTTCCGCATGGCCCTAAATCAAGCGCATACTGACCGATCGAGACTGGCTGATTGGGAACTAATTGCAGAAAATATCCTGTAACATCCTGCTTTATTTTGCGCTGCAGTGCTCATCACACAACCCTCTCCGGCCACAGTGGCAACCCTATACCGTCGTGCTCTCTTGTCTTCAGATGCGACGGTTTCCCCTAATACTCCATGAGTGTTTTCCTTGAGGCCTACCGCGTTACTTACTGGTTTCGATGCAACAAACGGCAAGAGCGAACAGATTTATTTCTATTCACACCTATTCACGAATGCTCCCACCGGGACGAATTCGCTTTTCGGCTATCTTCCGCATTCCCCGTGGGATTTTGGGTCTTTCACTGTATCCTCTACTGGGTCTTGCCTATATCAGGTCACCTTAGCGTGTTCGTGATGACGGCCGCAATTGTGTTCTGGTTCGTTGATTTGGCCGCTTATCCGCTCACCGTTTGTCGTGTTCACTCAACGTTTATTGTCATAAGTTTCGGGCGAGGTAGTTACTTATCTGGCAACGATAAATGAACTGGGTGTTATTGGTATCTGTCCTTATTGGGTGAGGTCTGCGCGACGCCATAAAATTGGCTCGAGACATCACAGGACATGACGGACGATCGGTATCTATACGCTATTGCTTCCTTTTGCCTGATTGCTTGCCCCAAAAATCATCAGCAACAAGCCACACAAACGCCACCATTCGCGTGTGGACTGTGAATATTGCGAGGTCACTCGCACCGACACACATCCGAGCCAGCGATCTCCTAACTCCAAAACAAACTCCTTATCCTTTCGATCATCGGCCAGCCGAAAATGTACGGGCGATGCTGAATTGCATATGTGGTGATTTTTATTGTGACTCGGAACATTGAAGTCTCACTAATATTCCTTCTCGTCATATAAGCAGTCGTTTGTGACTGCGCGCTGCGCTGACTTGGTACTGATGCTTTGATTTCGTGTGTTTACTTTACACGTTTCCGTTTTTCACTAGGTTCCCTTTTACCCCTCACTCTTATCGATCAACATTTTATTCCTACATTTGCATTCGCTGTTGGGCATACGCTGACCGCTTTTCTCGAGCTATCTCATATCTTGTTGTTAAAGTTGTACAAGTCATCCTCATTATGTATTCTGGTAGAAATAGGACCTCGAAAATCCTATTGATTACGAGGTTAACTCAGATCACGCCAGCTGTTTCGCTCTCGTAAGGACGCATTCGTGAGTCTACTTCATCCGCTTTGATTAGTGTGAAATTTTTTTATTTCTGTGTACACTTCAAATTTGTCCTCATTGATAAGCAACCCCACAGTTGAACACCGTTTGCGGAGACCACCCGTCTAAGTGAGTCATCGGAGGCCAAATTCCATCAGCACAGTTAATGTTCTGTTTAAAATTTGTGTCCATTTACTTCTGATCTGCTGAGGCTAATGTGTGTCGATAAGCCTAAAAACGAATTGTCCTGCAATGGACCCTCATGATCCACATGGGATTGTAGCACGTGCGAGAGATAGATGAGCATAGTCAGGTTCCAGTCGTTGCTTCGGCATCATCCTAAGCTGAGAGATTCCAAATCCATTCTCACACATCACGCTCTCTCTCGATTCTCTCCCTGATCTGATTTCCGTGGTCAATTTTGTCGTTTACTTACCGCTTACTTTACGTCCCATGACAGGAGCAATTTGTCCAATCCTACTTGAACCACTACACTCGAATCGCCTCCACTGTCATGATCTCCGCACGTACGCGAATGGTTACCGACTGGTCACTACAGATGAACAATCGCATTGTGCACATATCCGTCCAGTTGTTCAGTGGTGAGGCCTTGGCACTTCGCATGGTTCGCGAACGTCACTTGCACTACCTGTTGATACATTGTATTCTCAACATGTGCGATTGCTGTCGATCTGTAAGTTTGACCGATTACACTGCAACAACAAAAAAAGCTTATTCTCTATAACCGAAATGCCAATGTCCCCACTTTATGGAATACACTCTACTGATCGTAGAAATCTATTCCAATATCACCTAGCACGTCAGGTTACACTGGTATAATAATTAATAATTATTATTGATTAATTAATTATTAATAATTAATAATTATTGCCGGTAATGTCAACGTTGCGTCATACGAATTATATGTAAATGTACTGAATCACAACATATACAGTGTGCATCTGTTTGGCCAATAATTTTAAGACATCACTGCTGCACTCCCCGCTGACTACTGACTGCAGCTTGACACTGAGAAATGATGAGTTCACCGAGGTCGTTGCTTGTATGATCCAGCGCGCTCACGCTGCAGAAACCAGCAAAGCCACTCATCATAGAAGGCGTGTACTTGCCATTATAGCGGTGCTCCATGATTGAATAGTGAATACTGCGAATAGAGAGAGCGAAGATAAAAATCCATGTTGATCCATCGTAGGTGGATCGGGCACATGCGTGGAATCACGTCGCTGATTCCTGCACGGTGGTAGCACATATTGCAGCTTCACTACATCTTATCTGGGTGCGATACGTTCCCGCAAAGGGGGCTCCAAGGAATCTTTTACATTCCGACACCGATTTCGCGTCGACTAGCGTCTCCGGCAATTTGTTCCAATATTTCACTACTCGACGCTCAAAGCATAGAGGATGAGCGATGCGCTTTAAATCCGGTACCATTCATTTATACCGGTGTCCGCGTGTGCTGCTTGGTGCGCGAACATACAGCAGCGACTTCAACATAGGGAAGTGACTCAGGTGTAGGATCCGGTGCGTCATAATGAGATCAACTCGACGCCGACGATATGAAAGGGTATGAAGCCCTAGTCTCCTGCATCGGTCCTCGTACGACATACCCCGTAAACTGGAGATGAGCCGGGTATCTACATGCTGGACCCGTTCCAGTTTCTGCACCTCGCTTATTGTGATGGGACAATAGGCGGGTGAGCCGTACTCAAGCACCGGTCTTATTATGGAAGAGAACAGACGGGTGGCAATCTCTTCAGATCAAGTGCAAAAGCTGCGTCTAAGTACCCAAAGTGGGCGTAGTCCTTTTACGTACAGTCTGTTCGTGTTGTCGACAGACTTTAGATCACAACGTGAGAGTACGCCTAGATCCTTTACGGAACTGGTGGGATGCGGCGGGTGGCCGGTCAGGATGTACGCACGCCCATTACCACCCCTCCCCAGGCTCATAAACGAGGACTTGGCCGGGTTGACTGGTAGGTCAACTTCTGCAGACCACCGGGATAGGCGGTCGAGGTTCTGCTGAAGGACGTCATAATCGCCGGGAGAAGCAATAATCCTCCAAATCTTCAGGTCGTCTGCAAATAATGCACAGGACGACCGAAGAAGCTGTGGTACTTCGTTGATGTAGATCAGGAACAAAATGGGTCCCAGTGCTGTACCTTGGCGTGCGCCGTTAGGTGGTCATCCGCCTATACCCGCCATCTTCTCCCAACAAGCAAGTCACTGGTGCAGTGCGCCACCAACACCACACATCCTCAGCTTATGGAGCAGGACCTCATGGTTCACCTTATCGAATGCTTTACTGAAATCAATCTAGGTAACATCCACTGACTTCCCCCGATTCAACGCTTGCAACCATTCCTGCCGCCTCAACAGCAGGTTGGTGATGCACGCGCAGCCCGTCATAAAGCCGTGCTGTGCCGACGTTAGATCTTTCGATTCTAGCTGCTAGAGAATGTCTTGGCGAATGCGCTCATCATGCTTATCGCTAACAGATCCCAACTTCCCAGGGAAAAGTCAAACTGATTATGCAGGAAGTGCATCTTGAGTGACCAACAACCACCAACAGCCCGATAGTCCGCAATGAGCTTTTTGTGATAGTTTTGTAGTTCTCTGCCTTTGTTCTGTTCAAAAATCCTGTGCGCACTGCCTTGAATGATCGCCACGCTTCTAACTCAAATGAACCCAACTGACATTCGAAAACACTGTCTTCTATTATCCGGCGGATATCAGGCCCAATAATTATCCTTTTTTGAGCTTCGCATCTCTGATATTCGGAAACACTTGTTTCAGGTACTGGAACGCAAAATCATCTCGATTGAGAGCTTTGACGAAGTTTTTAATCAAACCAAGCTTGATATCCAGGGGTAGATAGATATGATCAGGTTGCACAAGGCGTGTATGCTTTACACTCGTTTCCCCTGCAGCATACTCTGGCCCCTTTTCGTTTGTGGAGTGCTGTTGAGTTGCTCTACTGTCCCATAGGCACAAGAAACAACAATATTTTGTGTAGCCTCCTTGCATACCCATTAGGAGTCCAATGACTTTGAATTCAGCACAGGTGGTCCAACAGTACTTATTGTAGTTCAGTGCGGCCTGTATCACTTGCATACTTTCGTAAGTCTACTTCATGTTGGTGGCATGCAACAGGCCCTATTAGGTATACATTTCCATTGTGGAGCAGATTACTCTTAGGCGAGTCAATGAATAAACAGTGTTCGTCACTGATATGCCTCACACCAAGCTCCTTCATCAGTCCTTCCACAGAAGGTTTCTTACGTGTCATAGTAACCGGACAATTTACCACTTCGCCTACTGTATACAGTAACCATAGTATTTGCAGTAAGTAAATGCCACCGCTGCAGCCTAGATGCCAGCAACTCGGCGTTGTCTTTTGGCAAACCCATATCACGTACCAAGTCGTTCAACTCTGGTTGTTCAATAAAATGTAGGTTGACAACATCAGCTCCAAATTCTTCACACATGTCAGAATCAGGGGAATTTGACGATGCGGAATTACTACTCATCATCATTAACCTCTTCACTGGAAGCACTGGAATGGGTAAGGTGCAATCACAAGTACCAGGTCGCATAGCTGATGGAAGATCGGGTAATGAGTTTCGTCCTGATTTCGTTTGGGGATTCCAATTACATTGGTTAGGTAGAAGTAGTAGTTTGTCATGTGATCCTTCGGCTCCCTCCACACCATGAGGATTGCAAAGGCATCTTGCCTTTACCTTGAGCCACTGAGTCAGATGAAGAGTGCATGACACACAAACTATACGCGGCGCCCACTTATTCTGATCTCCCAGCTTCATCCCGAACTATGCGTGGTAGACAGACTTCAATAGGGAAGAAATGGGTCTGCACTGCGACTTTTTAGTAAACTATCCATGGACGTAACAAAAATGATATCGGTCATTGACACAACCGCGTCTTTCAGCCATGATCAAGATATAAATTAAGGAAACACAGCTCTCAATCGACTTTAAGTATCAGTTGGGTCCCAATTTCAAGTGGACTTCTTTTCCACGATTACAGGGAGCCAATAGACCAATCACAGGCGAGCATTCGATGCATGGAACTATTGCTTAGCTGAAATAAAAAATTAAAATTAAAATAAAATCCGACGTGATAGAAACATTTGGTTTGCATATTCGTAATCAGCTCACTTGGTACTACTAGAAATATTCTATCTCATTTTCGTTATAAAAATGATGTTGCACAGTGTTCTCAACAGTTGTATACTTGAGGGAGTGGAGTCCATTTCTCCACTGTCATGTGTTTTCAGTTTGTTTCATCAGGCGCTCCTCGTGTCCATAGCCCCTTCCATAGGCACTGCTCACCGCTTATCATCTAACTCCACCTGGATGACGGGTCCGTGTCCGAAAGCATCGTGAGCCTACCTGTTCGAATCCTAATAGGCACCGGCAACCTCGCGATATACCAAGGCCGCGCGTGACTATTGGTGGTTGTATAACAACGAAGTATCGGTACGATGTACCAGCGTGTTGCTTACGCTTACTTGAATGACCCGAATTTTTAATCAGACACAGCGTTATCACTTCCCACCATCCAGTGTCTCAGGTTATAACTTTTCAGCTCCTAACAGGTTCAACCTGCTTCTTTAAAATATACTCTTTGCATTCAAAAGTACTCGTTTTAGCCCCTAACATTTTACATGCTTCCGTTTCGCCAACAGCGTCTGGATGATCGTAGCAATATGGTTATCAATTGTGACGGCCCACTGATACAAAACAACGTGTTTTGGCCCTTCGTATCCGACTTGAGCAATCTGGTTTCTCACAAATCCATTGTGGACGTGTTTGTTGAGGATCCCGCCTTTTTGCGAGCATGGACCACAGTCTTGCGTTATATGCAGGTTAGTTTCTTCACGGATCAATAACCCTTTCTTCTGACCTCAGTTTTTTGCTATGTAACAATCAAGACAGAGTGTTTATCTATGGGAATTGATTTACTAGACTTCACTTGAACACTGGAATTCTCTAGTCTTCTCACAATACAGCCTACTTCCTATCCTTGTGGATATGATTTGATATCGATTCTCACTGAATCGTGGCGTCCAGGAGTAGCTCTTTGATGCACCCTTATTTCGGCTCTACCCGCTGGCTCTGAATGGTTCGTGGCCTTAATGATAACCAACCTACCTTGTACTTGGACTACCCGCCATGTGGTTGGATTGCGACACGCAATCTCTATTGAGACCTCGGTTCAATTTGAAGTAGACCTCCATCATTCCGATCACAAGAACCATAACCGAATTGGAAGTGGTTTGATGTTGCTCCTCCCAGCGCTGACACCTCGATTTCGGATACGGTCCTTGTGATCGGAATGATGGAGATCTACTTCAAACTGAACCGAGGTCTCAATAGAGATAGCGTGTCACAATCCAAACACACGCGGGTATTGCAAATCCAAGCCAAGCGTCGCTCACGGATCTTAGCGGCATAGTGATCGAGGCGTCAGCCGTGAATCACTAGGTCCGGAGTTCCACCTCAGCCCAGGCTATTTCCACCTGATTAGTCTAAACGAGGAACAAACCGGTTATGGGGTATCAGTGTTGGGAAGAACAGCACCGAAAGCCTGCCTTGTAGTCATGAGGTTGTGGGTTCCAGCCTGTGTAGGGAACCGGGCGACCCTTGAGGTATCCTTAGCTCACGCGCGACTGGTAGTAGTTGCGCTGCAGTGAAGCTTCTGTACGGCGTACCGGCGTACTGCTGATGCCTCTGTCCACTCTGGTGGCCAGTCCAGTGTATGTTGCGTAGATCATCGGAACGGGACTGGATATTAACGTGACCTGATAGCTCGCGTACCTCCACCCTTCTTCCGGTTGCGCTGGACAACACTTTCCAACTAACTTCATAGTTCATCCTATCGGGTAATTTCATGGTTATTTGCCAGACCAATTCCATCTCAGCATCCTCTACAGAAGTTGTGGATACATCTCGTCCTTTAAGATCTTGATATGATTGGCGACTAGCTTGGATCATTAGCGTCATGTGTTGTTTTGACAGTGAGAGGCGTCGCCAGACACTCAATAGTTAGCTACTACCATCCCCATGTATTTTCACACGTTTTCAATGATTTAAATCCCACGAAAATTCACATTTAGTTCACCCTGGTCGCAAGTATATCCTTCATTACGGTCGAAAGGCATGCACGAATTTTTCTCTATATTCCGACTATGTTTGTGACGTAGTACTTCGCACCAGTCCTCGCGTGGCTTTGAAATCACACTCTGGAATTAGGTGTGCTCTCCAATGGGATGTTGCAGTTCTCCATGCAACCGCCGTCCCACCCCCACTGCCCTGTGTGTCAAGCCGTGGGTCCAAAGGCTAGAACTAGGGCACCTCAACCGAAACCCCTCTCTCGAAGTAGGAAACCGGAGAGTATCACCTGAATGCTGTTGACTGAGCCTAAATGTACCGAATTTGCATAGAGCTGCTTTCCTTACAATCTCTGTGCTTAGTGCGTTCACTCCTGCTTTGTCGTTCGAGGCTGGACGGACTATCCGAAACACATTAAAACATGTGTGTAGACTAGCCAAGAAACGAAACACATCAAACCAGGTTAGCCTGTTCATCGTCATGTGTGGATTCGGTACAGGGGACCACATAACCTCATCTCATGGTCGCTGTCTTCTGAAAGATAAAACTTAAGTTTTGCATTTTACTGCTCAAGCTTCTGAGTTTATTCATTTTCATGTGACTCCAAGTCACGGAACCTGGATCTGACTTCCCCGTGGTTTCGCGGATCATGGCAGCCTATACGAACTAGGTGGAAAGGGTTCGACCATCATAGCACAACTGTCGAAGACACTTAAACATAATTTTGAACGGTGCCATTTTACGCTTTCACGCTTAGCGCGTTCCTTGGATAAACGCTATGCCCCTGTTTGGGTGCACGATTGATAGTCCCTTTTTGAACTAGTTGCTTCAATTTAACCATGAAACACGTAAACACAAAAGTCATTTGTTGTTCTGACTTTTGGTTTGGGTCTGCAAATACAATGTCACTCCTTTTCTTTTGTTTTGAATTTGAGGATGGTAAACACTTATTCAACAGAATCTCTGCTAGTTCTACTCGCATTCTGGATGTTAGACAAAAAATTGCTGCTGCTGCGTCTGCTGCCACTCCTCCTGTTTCATGAATTGCATGCCACAGCCATGTCTTACTTTTCGCTTCTTGATCACTGTTTCTTCCTTGTTTCCTGACGTGTTTTTTCCAGTTCATGAACTGCTTTGTCCTTCGCGAGGGTGACCACATCGAATACGAGACGATGGCTTTCTACCACGCCTTTACGATGGAAATCGAAATTAGCGCAAACCCCATGTGGAATATCTGGCAACACTATCGTGATCCTGTGAGTAATCTCTCTCCACCGCTTGTTTTCTGCCTTTTCCGAATGACAACGCCACACTATCCTGTTCTTTTGTTTCTATTTCGTTTGTCTGGCCAGGTGTGGCAATTGTTGTGCTTGAGTATAGTGCTGCCGGATTCCTACGATAACCCATTCACTCCCGCGACAATTATCTGAGACCTTCGACACCGCATCCGTTTCTCATAACGATGTTGCTATTGTGATTTCGCCTCTCTATCTCTCACCCTTTATTGCTGGCCCTGTGTGGGTTGCGCATGCCACGTCTTATCAATCTTTCCATGTGATACATGTGTTGCAACCTGTTGTTCCGTGTTTCACGCAATTCTTCATTACATACTCTAAATCGCCCTAGTGATTTATTTCCTAGCCCTTTCTGAATTTCACTACTGCTTTGCGCCGTCATTCCTACATCACTTCTAGTTTCCGTTGGAAATTGAAGTGTATATCTCATCATGCTTACGTACATCTCACTGTTGTACTTGTTGGCTAGCGGAACGGAACTAATACGCGCACTTAATCTGCCCGCTCACGCTAACCATGATATCGTCTTGGAGGCTTCGATGACTGGGTCATGAGTTACGCTTGCTAACACACAGATATTCATCGACGTGGGTTGACGCAACTGGGGTCTGGGTGGAGAAAGAGGAGGGAGCGCCAACCGGTGACTTGGTCAAGAGGAATGTAATCCCTCATCTTCAACTTGACATCGGTTGATGCCTCCTGACTCCCTAGTTGAAGTCTCAAAGGTGATAAACACGTTCGATTGGACACATTTTTTGATATGTCTAAAAACTGACCTAAGTGACGTTTGTGTTGTGAGTTTCTTCCCCCCCATCCCGCTTATCTTCCGCATTCAACCACGATCTCAATCTCAAAGCATACTATGTTACTAAGCAGTGCATTACCTGTTGGTATTTGTGTATCTCATAATGTTTTACATCTCGTTTTCTTCGTATATCTTGTATTGCAACCTACTAAGGCACCAGCTTTTACGACGTTTCGCTGCCGTGCAATCACCACCGGTCACATGTGGGCCGAAGATACTGCGAGGGTCGTCCTGCCTCTACGCAGGCTCGAACCTACCTCACCAGCTTACAAGACAAGCTCCTCATCTTTGGGCTACTCGCCGGCATTGCTACATAATGGCCGAAGTGTATTTCTCACTTTCAACTAATGTGCAGCGATGGTGATGATGATTGGAGGTCACTCAAAATTCGTTTCAAGTCACATTAACCAGATGACCTACTGCTTCTTTCGCGCACACGGATCACGATCTGCAAATTGGCCACATGACTTTTCGACACGGACCTTCTCATCATATTGCTCGCGCACGCGTCCAGAATTCGACCTTACTGCATTGTGCGCATACAGCACACCTTTTGTCTATCTTATCAGCGTGCCATTTCTCAGAGCTACTTATTCGTCACTTATGCTCGATCCGCGAAGCAATAAATTCATGTCAGCCGTTACTCTCTCCTCTCTCTCAGCATCGACGGCGATCTACTGTTGGTTGTGCTCGCCCTCAATTCGTCACGGCAAGTGGGATCCGGTGCCACTGCCTTTCTTATCGATTTTGTGCTTCTGCTGATCATTTGTGACCGATCATTGCCACTTCCCGTTTCTGTTTGGCTAGCGTTTCTGTTTGGTTATTGACTGCATACGGACGACAGCTCTCTTAGCTGCTATGCAAGAGCTACCACCAAGTTTGCCGACGCATTGCATTGCGCGCTTTATTTACGCCATTGGATGCACTCACCTGCAATTTTAACCTGTCAAAGTAGTCGGCCCGTTTATTTAACTGTTTGCTGCATCATTGGCGGTCGCATCATCGAAAACACTACAGTTCATCTTGCTAACGCTCGTATCCACTTCAGTTCAGTTCAGCTCTGTTGATCAACTATGATCCGAGCACCGAAGTGCAGTGGATCCAGTTGCCACGACTAACACCGTAAGAATAACAATAAATAACACTGTTAGGACAGTGGGGTTGGGTGCAAAGAGAATGTAGAGAAAATGAGAGCGAGAAGGAAATGCCCAGTCAGAACCGAACGAAAATTAACAACCAGATGAAAGAAGCCGTATTGAGGAACGTCACTGACTTAGTGACTGCGCCATGTCTGACAAGGTGCCCAATCATTGATGTGGATCGTCCCGAGGCCCCAATCCAGGAAGACGGCACGCACCAACCTGACCAAGCTTCTCAGTCAATTTCTTCAAGTTTCTATGCCATATCATGGACTGACCACTTCGTGGTTTTGCCCAACTTGGTGTAACCACGGCATATAATGCACGCCGAGGAAGCCGATCAACGAGCATACAATGGATATGGCCTAGCCAACGCAAGCGACTAAGGTTTCTCAAACTCTCGAGAGTGACATCTGAAGGCTTATTGCCTAAAATCAACCGGCGGACCTCAGCATTACTCATCCGCTGTTCCCACCAGTGGTAAGCGATACTCCGTAGGCACCGGTGGTCAAACCCGACCAAGCGTTCAATGCCTTCACTACGAACTGGCCACACAGTAATACAGTCCTTATCGCAACGTTATACACCCTATCTTTCACTGATGAGCTGATACCCTGTCGTCTCCATAGATGGTTGAGCCTCTGAAAAGCCACATGGGCCTTGCTGATACTCGAAATAATCTCTTCAATAATGTGACCACCAGAGACGACACAGCTACCAAGGTAAGTGAATCGATCCACCACTTCCAGTGGCTGTTCGGAAATAGTTGAAACCGGAGGTGGGCCGAACCAGTCCTGCAGCAGCACTTTGCAGGTGCAAAATATATGTCGAACCATGGAGCGCTATGCTCAAGCTTGTTCAGTAGTGTTTGCATAGCCAATGCATCAGACTTAAGGAGAACTACGTCGTTCGCATACTCCAGATTTGTCAGTCAGTCGCCATACTACTCTGAAAAAGCCGAGTCGTTCATGATCATTTCGATCACAGTTGAAGAGGAAAGGATATATAGGACAACTCTGGCGAACCCTACTTGTTGTGGGTAACTCAGGGGACAGTTTCCCGCAGACCCTTACACGGCCTCTGAACTCACGGTAAAGAGAGTTGAGAATGGAAAGGAATTTAACCGGCACGCGCTTCATGGATAGGCATTGCCACAGACTGGCGCGGTCAACAGAGTCAAAGGCGGCTTTCAAGTCAAGGAAAATCACCATAGTCGGTCGTCTGTATGTGTATCTCTGCTCTAAAACTTGGCGAAGAGTAAGTAAGAGTAAGTTGATGCGACCACGGCCAGGGCGGAAGCCAATCTGGTTTTCAATGGTTCGGTCCTCACGGGGACAAGTAAGTCGTCAAAGAATGATACCCTTGAGAAACTTTGAGGCAATGGAAATAAGGCTAATGCCTGGATGATTTTCGCACGAAGTACGCTGACCGAAGATGGTCACGACAGTTGATAGTCGCCAGTCTGAAGGCACTTCTTCAGTGTCCGAAATCGTGTTAACAATGAAGCAAGTCCAGTCGACAAATAGTCATCGGCATCTTTCAACGGAGATGGGGGAAGGTCGTCCGGTCCCTGAGCCTTGTTTCCTTTTAATACGGCGTGCTCCTATCGAATCTCTTCCAAACTTGGAGGTGTGACATCTACTTCCCACGTCGGCTCTGGTGATTCGGCGAACAGCAGTGTCGCAGCAGGCCTGCGACAGACGCTGTTATGGAAGCTTAGTAATTATGGGAGAAGCTTAAGTGTTGCGGTGCTTCAGTACTACTGTGACCGTGTTCGACCATCAATACTTGTGAAGTACCACTCATTTTTTCTGGAGGTTTGGCGAATAGCATCGAATATCGTCATTTGGTGTTTGGCAAAAAGCTCTACTGTACCTCGTTGAAGTACTTATTGAGCCCGAATCGTCCCCACTCGCTCGGCAGCCGTCTCCACATGCCCTTGCTGAGGTTACCAGTCGCTTGGTTTAGCGAAATATTTCACATTTCTGATGCGAGGGCCGCAAACTGATCTCCAGTATTGCAACGCTCAGACATTTTTAACAATTCTTCTACGTACATATGCTTGATCGTGTCTTCCGTGCATGCTTTTTGCCTCTCCGGACTTAGCCTGTGTTATCTCTACTCATCGCGGTTAGCTGGATGCAATTTTGGGACGACCAACAGCAGATATCTAGGTAGGAAACTGTGGAAAATAATTGATTGGGTAACTTAAGCAGACGACTAACTGCTTTCTTCCTTAGCGGAGCCTTCGGGATAGATCATAACATCAGTCATTGAAGACCTAATCTTGCGTTGCGCAGTTGCAACATATGTAATACCTTCCCTTTTTAATCACTAATCTATTCTTTTTCCATGGATTTATACCTACACGTTTGCAACATCACTGCCTATTATCTTCCCGTCATGGGATATATCTGGATCTATGCTCGGTTCACATCTATTTGCTCTACTGTAGTATGCCATTTTTCATTTTGAACTTGACCACCTCGATGGTTTGCGACTGTCCGATCTCGCTTAGTCACCAACCTGATGTAGCTCACGCATCGGGCTTTCGACCTTTACTATTTAGTAAATATACTTCCAACTACCTGGTCACAGTTGAACTCAGTCGGTTAATGCACACCCTGAAAGGTGCCAGCCGGTCATCTGGCCCTACTGAGATCCAGCATCCTGCGAGGTTTACATTCAATGATTTTTCTCCCATGAGGCAGCACTCTCAGCTCCTGGTTTAAAATACTCATACGGTTTTCCTGAGATAACCGTTTGCTTTATTTGTACGCCTTCTGTTTTCCCTATTTTATTATTTTTTTCAACTTTTTCCGCCGGTGACCAGTAGCTCTAGGGCCCTGGCCATCATCATCATTGCACGTTCGCTAAAGGTGATATGCACATCAGCTGTTGTGCCTCAACACAAAAAGATATGTGGAAAAAGCAAGCTACAACACATTATAGAACACAACATCACAGCTAAAAAGCAAGTACTATCATATTATACTTCAGCTATGAGATCGTAGTTT